ATTGTCCACCGATAAATAAGATGTTCCTTTCTGAACCCTAAGGAGATTAAATGCAAGGAAGAACCTCCCTGCTATAGGAACAATTTCATTTCAAATTATTGTTACAGAATTTGCCAGGCTTTTATTTGATGGAAAAGTTGACCAGACATCTGTTGGACTGGGAGAGGGAAAGTCCACTGGATTCTCCCTCCCTCCCCAATTCTTTTCCATATTGTCTCTTAGCACGAGGCGACAGCCTCTTGACAGGTCAGGGAGGTGTCCGGTGTGCCCCACAATTTAATTAACATGACACTAGAGAAAACCAGGCTGATGCAATCATTCACGAGTGCCTGGGAGACTCGGCCCCTGATGGATGCTGCACTTTCTCCTGCAGCTGCGTGGCCCACGTACCATTGAGGGGAGCTTCATCTTGTCCAGGCTGCTTGCGTGCTCTCGGTGCCCTCCCTTTCCCCCAGTGTGCTATAAATACATTCCCTCAGTCCATCCCAGCACACTGTATCAATCTTGTTTAATAGACTGGAAAGCTTAATGCGCGGTGGCGGGTCGCGGGGAGCATCGGGGTGATGGATTGTGCCTTCCCGGAGTCGAGCACCGTTGATGTATAATGAAATATTTATGATTTATTCCGGCTAATAAACTGGAATGAAGTGTGTGATATATGTGAGCAGATGGGGAACTATTGATGCAGCTTTCATTTGGGGAGTGTGGGGAGGTTTATGTCCGTAACACACACGTACACACATCACAGACCCTTGCATGCCATAAACTCTGCACCTCGCATGGCTGTTGTGGGGACAACCGATTCCCATCCCGTCATTAATCTCTTACTCCTTCCCTCTAATTGTTTGTCATTCTGCATCCCCTCCCGCACCTGTTCTCCACAAGCCTCCTTTTGTACAGAGTGCCTTTTATCCAAGGGCTTTGCTGCTTTCTCTGTGTTATATGTGAGCCCTGAGACTCTGCCCCTGCACTGGAATTTTCAGAGTGTGGCACTAACACCTCCTGGGGCAGTTTTCAGCCGTGGCTGTTGTCAAGTCCAGCAGGAGGCTGGCATAACCCCTGCGAAGGATTCCTTTTGGAGCACTGTCCTGCTGTCCATGGTTTGCTCTTCACTGGAGGCTGATCCATTTGGATGAATGGTCACTGCCCCTTTGACCTCAACCTGCCCCACCTGCCTGCCTTCTTTCTTTCTTCCAACCAGTCCAGGGGATGGCAGTGCCTATCAACTTCCTCCTCCTCAGTCTCAGTATAGCCCGTTTTTAGAATTCCACAAGGAAGAGGAGGAGGAGAAAACTAGAATTAATTGTTGCAGCCTCTTTGGTTCCTCTGACTGTTGGTTTCCCTGTCTTCTGCCCTACCAGTCCCAGGGGGCACTAGCCACCATTGCCCCCAGGCAGGTGCTTGAGGTGGCAAAGACAAAAGGAACAACCCTTTCTCCTCCCCCACCTCCACCCGCCAACAGAACCAGAACGTTTCTCCAGTTCAAAGCATCTTGCACACCGCTGGATGCCCTTCACTTGGTGCCATGAAAGACTTGAGGAGTCTGTTCTCCACCCATCACATCCTCCACGAGCTGCCCCTCCAGCTGTTCCCCTCTCAGACTAATTAGTTGCATTTGCGGGATAATTTCAATATCTCTCTGATGAAAGCCACCAGAGGAGCACAGAGATCTGCTTCTGCTTCTGACTGCTTCAGAGGAGACCTTCCCCAAAGGGGGTGGGGGTGGGAAGGGAGATTTCTCTGTGCTGAAACGCCCAGCCCTATCCTGTCAACATGCTAGTTCAGAGAGCAAGGGAGCTCTCCAAGTAGCAGGCCTCTGCAAAGGAATCCAGCAGGGAAGATGCCTCATTCTGTCTGTACCTGCTCAAAGTGAATGATCTCTGTGCTACTGAAAGAGTCTGGCAGCTGGGAATTCCCTGGGAGAGTCTGTCAAGCAAAGGAAGATGTTCTCAGAAGTCGAAGAGGGACCTGGAATTCTCGCTTCCAGGGAAGCTCCTACCGCCCAACACTTTGGAGCCTAGAGTGGAAGGTGCAAAGAAGCAGAGAGGGGAGCCCTTTTCAAAGCAGTCGCTGTTTCTAAAGGAAGGAAGTTGCAGCAGCAGATCACATCTGCTTTCAATGATATCACAGGCCTGCACTGGAATCTTTGTGACTTCTCCTGTTGCACAGCTTGTTGCAGCTTGGTACATCTAGGAATATATTTGACAGAATATAGCAGGTGTATGTGGAGTGCACCTAGTCAAGGAACTAGGTAAAAAAAGAGGGGATTCCTTAGGCACTATTGAGCCTTTTACTATGAGCATGTAGAAGCCATCAACCCTTTCCCTCTCTTGTTTTGATTTTAAAGAAAAACAACCCACAAATTTTCAGGTGTAAAAAGTTCAAAGAGGCATGTCACCAGTGTAATGGCAAGAGGCCAGTGAAATGTAGCAGCAGCATGGGGGGAGAATGAAGAGGTGCAGGGGTACATCTGCACAGCTATGCTCAGTCCAGTAATAAGGTCAAAGCAATTAACTGAACGCTGCAGTTCAATAGGAGGATTGAACTAAATATCCCCCAGTACCTTCACTACACAACCTCGCTGTTGAAGCTTCTGTTCTGGGAGGCCTTCATAAAAATAGAGATTGCTACAAGTGCTTAGATGCTATTTCTGTTGTAATTGTCTAAGGCCTCGCATGTTGGAAAGTACTCTAGCCCACCTCCATAGCCCTTCCTTGGAAGAAGATTTCGCTTGCCATCTCTACACCTCTCCTTCACAAAGCTACACTACTTGACACCTCTGCATCTTCATATGCAAATTCCATCTCAGGCACTCTTAATAAAACCTGCAAGAATTTTAAAACAGCCACTCTGGAAACACTGCTGCATCCACAGCTTCCTTCCCCTTAAGATAATGAGGGGGAGATGAGCACAATCCAATCCCTTTTTGTCCTGCACATCAATTACACGGCAGGTCCTTTCCCCCACCCAGGGCGAAGGAGGCCAGCAGTAAGCGCTCTGAGTGAGCTGCCACAGGAGCACCAGCAGAGAGAAATGCAGCTATGTGCTCTGGGAGCTTTTCCTGATAGCCGGTTTAGTTCCAGAGGAAGCAGTGGAAGGCAGGGAAGGAATTCTGCCTGAGACTCTGGAATGCCCCTGCCAGTCAAATAATACTGAGTGAAATGAACCAGTGATACAACTCAGTATAAGGCAATTTAGAGTTTTAGACCACATCCACACCATACATTTGAAGCATTATGATACAGTGGTACCTCGTCTTACATACGCTTCAGGTTACAGACGCTTCAGGTTACAGACACCACTAACCCAGAAATAGTACCTCGGGTTAAGAACTTTGCTTCAGGATGAGAACAGAAATCGTGCTCCGGCGGCAGCGGGAGGCCCCATTAGCTAAAGTGGTGCTTCAGGTTAAAAACAGTTTCAGGTTAAGAACGGACCCCCAGAACGAATTAAGTACTTAACCCGAGGTACCACTGTACTACCTTAAACAGCTATGGCTTCCCCCAAAGAATTCTGGGAGCTGTGGTTTGTTGAGGGTGCAGAGAATTGTAAGGAAACCCCTGTTCCCCTTCAAGAGCTACAGTTCCCAGAGTTCCCTATGAAGAGAGATTGATTGTTAAACCACTCTGGGAATTGTAGCTGGGGAAGGGGTGGCAGGGGCCCCTAACAGCACCCGTAACAAAGCACACCTCCTGGAATTCTTGGGGGGATCCCATGACTGTTTGAAATGGTGACATTTCATGGTGATGCTTGAACTGATGCAGATTTGGCACTAGTGAGTTCATCCCATTTCTCTCTGCTACCTCATACCTCGAATGCCAACAAGCTGTAGCCAGTTGTGGGCTGAGGCAAGAGGACCATTATGACCAGTCCGCAGAGGGCAGACCCTCCATATCTATGTTGGGCTGATGTTTCAGAGAACAGCCTTGTGTTCAGCTGACATTTCAGAATGGCAGTGGAGGGGCTTGTGCTTCTCTTGCCTAGGAGGCTGCAGCTTCCCAGAGCCCTGGAGGATGTGAGGGAGGGTAAGTGAGAGAGAGGGCAGAAGGATCTGGGAGACAAGCCACAAAAGGAAACCTGGTCATGGCCAGGGTGGACTCCCTCATGGCGGAAAGGACAATGGTAAGCCTTTGGTCAGGCTCATCTAATCTAATCTAACCAATCCGTTTTAGATGAGACCCCTAAGATCCATCTAGTCCAGCATCCTGTTTGCCACAGCAGCCAACCAGATTCTTCCAAGAAGCCCAACAGGCAAGCCATGAAAGTGCTCAGTGGCATATTGTCTGTGAACATGGAGCTCCCATGTGTCACACTGGTTCTGAAGCTGCTGCACTGGCATTGAGCTACCAACCCAGTTCAAGGTGCTAGTTCTAGTATGTAAAGTCCTGTGGCTTGAGACCCAAGTACCTAAAGAGCACATTTCCCCAATGCGACCATCTCAGGCCCTAGAGTTGGCAAGTGATGTCTTCCTTGGTGATGGTGCTGGCATCCTGCTGGTATGGATCAGCAGCTGCTATAAAAAAAAAGTTTCCAAATTAGAACAGCCAGGTGTCCACAAACTGCTAGGTATGGCTCATAATCTGTCATAAAATAAGAGAATGAAAACAAATGGAACCAATAAGTTAGCAATGTTTACCATAGCTAAATATCTTTCACTCGAGGTCTCCCTCATTGGTCAGAACAAATAACTATAGTACAGCAAATAGTAAGTCAAATATTGTATGTGCATTGTCATGGACGTTCATTGTTTTTAATTGGTATTAAAATGCTTTTCATATATTAGAGGCACAACATCAATTCGTTCTTATTTTTGTCCCTCCTTTTTTCATCCTATTAGCCACCCTCACTAGCCATTGCCTCTTGTCTTTGCCTTCTCTGCCATCACTGCCACACCTCTTCCTCTTTCCTTATTAGTGGCTTCTAGATGTCGATCTCCAGTCTGCTGTTCCGCCCCTAGAAATGTCGCCTACCTTGTCTTACCAGCTCCTTTCTTTTTCCAGGTGACACCGCTGTGTATAAGGAGGGCACCTACTGGATCAGAGGACGGACCTCAGTTGACATCATCAAAAGCGGCGGCTACAAAATCAGTGCCCTGGAAGTCGAGCGCCACCTGCTGGCCCACCCCAGCATTGCTGGTAAAGCCTAGCCCCGCCCTGCAGCTATTTATTGATTTGCTAACATAGTTCAGTTCATGTACTTAGTGCTTTACAAAGCGCAGCAAGGTCTGACAGGTCCCCCAATAGCATTCCACATCCCAGGTAAACCCACCCACCCTCCTTCACTTGCACACACACACACTCAATCTCTCTCTCTCTCCCACCATCTCAAACGAAACTGCCCTGTATACTGAGAAAGACAGTTTGGAGGATTGTAAACAGTATCTGGCAGTGGCTCTCTGTGGTTTTAGGTGGTCCTTCCCAGCCCTACCTGAAGACATCAGGACCTGAACCTGAGACATATTCTCCCATAAATGGCACTCAGGGCAGCTAACGAGCTGTAGTTAAGGCAAATTATAAAACAATTGCAGAGCGTTTAAAGAACGAGAGAGAAAATAGTACAGCTATTGCAAATAAGTAATTTTAATATGTTTTAAAGTAGGATTGTAAATCTTCCTTGATTTTTTACTATCAAGTGGTATATAAATTTTATGAAATAAATAATAGCATAATGAATAAATTAAATAAGTCATCTCAAGTTAAAACAGTTTTAGCAGCCTGCCCACCAAACTGAAACAGGCACCAAGTTTAACACAGAGACCAAATAATAAGCTTGGACAAAGTAAAGGCAGAGCCAGGTGAATTTCTTGTAGGAGGGAGTTCCTCCCACCTTCCCTGTGTGACTTTCACATTTTTCCCCTCTCCAGATGTGGCTGTGATTGGTGCCCCAGACATGACATGGGGTCAGAAGATCAGCGCTGTGGTCAGGCTGCATGAGGGCCAGGCACTGTCTCTCACGGACCTGAAGGAATGGGCAAGGTAACATGTCAGCACCCACTGGGTATGGGGTGTCATGGGAAGGTATAGGGCAGGCCATTGTCTATTCCAGTTGAATACTTACTTGGGAGAAAGGTGGGGTATAAATATATTAAATAAGTAAAATGAATAAATGCAGGATGAACAGTAGCCAAACCAGTGGGTACAAACTAAGGTTATTTACAAGCTGGTTTCCAAACTTCCCAACATTTATGATATTTTTCCTACGGTAAGAATGAAAATATATTCAGCAGGTAAATGAAAAAGTAAATATTGCTACTTCCCTCTAGGCCAATGGGTCTGGAACAACACAGTTAATTCCTTCTGACTCATGAGGCTACAAACATGGCTCTAGATTTTTTTGTGCAATGGTATTCCTATGTGCTTTCTTGCCCTCCCCTGCTACCAAGCTGGGCCTAAATTAGAGAGCTAGTCTCCAAGGTGTGCTGAAATGATAGAAGCAGAATACACATACACACACACACAATTTTTCATCAGTTCAACTAATACAAATTGAATAAGGGTTCCCTTGTCCCAGGTGGCTGCTCCACCCCCCACTCCCAAAAACATATTGGATGCTTTTTTAGAGGGTATGTGAAACTGGTGCTATTCACAAACCACAGGCATTCTTGTTTCATCCAGGGCTGCACAGCTGCCCAATTAAACAGTCCCCAGGATTTGCAAAAATCACAGTGGGAGGTTTGCAATTTAGCAAATGTGAGGAATACTCTTGCTAGCCTCTGTTGCTCTGAATAAACAGCAAAGAAAACTCACAAAGAAATCCAGAGGTGTGGAGGCCTTGAGCCCTGGCCTCTCACTCCCCTGCCTGCATGCCAGCTTCCTCGCATAACACTTGAGAGGCTAGCTGGGCACTTGCACAGCACCCATACATTTTTTTTTTACATAACAAAATAGAAAGACCCCTAAAGGGTCATACTAAAAGCCCATCTAGTTTAGCCTTCTGCTTCCCTAGGGAAGGACCGTAGCTCAGTGGCAGAGCATGTGCTTTGTATGCAGAAGGACGTCTTCTCTATGAAACGCTAGAGACCCACCGACAGTCAGTGTAGACAGTGCTGAGCCAGACGAACAATGTAAATGAGGTTCCTACATTCCCATAGTTACGCTGCAACCAACCTGGGGTGCTCACTACACCATGCCCACGTTAGCGTTCACCTAGGAACTGGTATATGTGGCATCTGAAAGTGTGGCCCTGGAAACTGGTGGAGCTGATTATGAGCCCAGCAGTGTTGGTTATTGGTCATTTCCTGCTTCTTCTGCTATGGAGGTGGGTTCCCCATCACCACCAAACACGTACAGCCCCACTTCCTCCTCCCAGGCAAAGATTATCCGTGTATAAAGGCCCAGCTCCTCAATAGAAAGAACAGCCCAGTGATGGCCAGAAGAGGGAATGGTATACCAGTGTTACAAAACCTTCTTCGGCAGGCTGCGCAGGGAGAATAAGGTGTGTTGCGTAAAGGCTGTAAGAGGGCGCGAAAGCCGAAAACCAGCCGCGTCAATCGCAGAGGGCCCAGCATAGCTGTTATCAAGCCTTTAAATTCCTTCACTTCCATCACTTCTCGAGCTGTTAGGGTGGTGACAGCAGGGGAACAAGTGCTATCCCCTTGCACATCTCCCCTCTTTGCCCTTGTGCCTCAGTTTCCTGCCTGTCTCCTCACAGCCAAGATTGCAAGGCAGGCTGCGAGAGGAGAAATCCAGCCTGAATGTGATGCGTCTCTCTGGAGCAACAGCGTTTGAGCACCTCGGGAAGGGTCCTTGGCCCGCTCTCTCCGCACGCCGCCTCCCGGGTCTCACACCCCTGCCGGCTTCTTTCACTGCCGCTCGTCCTGTCTCTCCTCTTTATCTTCCATGCCACTTGCCTCCCTTCGTCCCTCCACCCCCCGCCACATTCTCTGGCAGGAGACACATGTCCCTCTTCAGAGTGATTCATTTCGTGGCTTTCGCCTCCAATCTGCTCCCGGTGACAAGCGGGTCCTGAGTTTGAGGCCTCCTCCGCATGGCAGAAAGGCATTGATAGTTTGAAAGCAGCGGAGGCACTGAGGGAGGAGAAGAGCCCTGACATGCTGGGCAGGCTTGGCATGTCACTCCAGACTCTGTGCCCACGAGGTACCCGTCAGAGCAGGGCATGCCCTGCAGCCAGCGGTCTAGTGAGGGAAAGCATCCCACATGCATATGATCACGCACACTTTGCAGTGGGCAAGGTGACTTTCTTTCGTGCTCAGACAGTCCCCTGGTGGGGCTTTAATAAGATGCTGAACTTGCTTGGCATCCTCCCCATCATGCATGCCTGTGATCAAGAGGAATGGGGGGGGGTTGCACATGGGAGGGGGGCTTGTGTGGAGGGCCGGGAGTTTGCAAGGCTCCTTAGCGCTTATGTTGACAATTTGTCATTTGCTCTTCCTGCCATATCTAATTGCAAGGATTGATGAGAACCCATTAAAAGTGATCCATTCTGCTTCTTGGAGGTGCTTTGTCTGGGCACTTTCTCTCTCTCTCTCTCTCTCTCTCTCTCTCTCACACACACACACACACACACACACACACACTGTGGTATGTTGTTACTCAGCCTTAAGTATCCATGTGCATGGGTGGGTGACCCAGAGTAATATGTGGGTACAGAACGCCCTCCAAGCAGCTGCTCCTCCTGTGCCACCCTTGATCTAAACCCCCTGGTTGAAGGACAGCGTTCCATCAGAATAGGCACAACCGATTGCATAGGAGCCTAACATGGGCTGTGCTGGATGAGGCCAAATCAGCTTCTAGTCCAGCATTCTGCTTCCTACAGTGGTCAGCTAGATGTCCTCCCCTAGAAGCTCACAAGCATGAGATAAAAAAGCAGCCCTTGATCTTCCACAACAGTGGTACGCTGCCTCTGAACATGGAAATTCTTATTTGCCATGATGGCTGAGAGCTGCTGAAAGACTTCCTCCTCCTCCTCCTTGACCTTCTCTAATCCCCTTTTAAAGCTATAAAAGGTCTTGCAGCACCTTGAAGGCTCACATGTTTATTATAGGAGACTCTTTGCTTTGTCCATCTATGCCAGTGGCCATTAGGACAGAAGTGGAATTTGCACTGTACAAAGAAGTGCATTCTTTTCATCTGCCCCACTTCTTGTTTTGATTCCAGATTGAACACTTCTGTCCTTGCTTGTTCTGGTCAGGGGGCCATAGGCCTTATGACACAGTGAACTGTATGCTAGTATATACGGAATATTTGTAGGGAGGGAAAGTGGAAACATGAGCACTTCACCTGGCCCAAGTTGAACAGGGCAGTGTCTCACTGCCCTAATGACTGGAAGCCTTCACTGGTTTATTTCCAGGCTCAAATGTTTGCATAGTTTATATCCGTTGACTCTTCTCCCGAGGGGTGCACAGTCCTTTCCTTAAGAGTATTTTGGATGTAGCTCACTGGGAAAGGTACTCCTTTGCATGCAGGAGGTCCCATGCTCAATCCTCAGCATCTCCAGGTAGCACTAGGAGAGATTCACCACTGAAACACTGGGTAACCATTGCCAGTAAAGAACACTGAGCTAGATGGATCAAGGGTCTGACTTGTTGTTAGGCAGCTTCCAGTGTCCCTGTCCAGCTCTGTATCACAAGGGAAGCCATGATTCAGTGCTAGGGCAGGAGTAGAGAGGAGATGGACATTTGCAGAAGCAGTCTCTTAACCAGAACATGTGCTTGTGTGTCCCAGAGAGTTCATGGCACCTTACACCATCCCCTCTGAACTGCTGGTGGTGGAGGAGATCCCGCGAAACCAAATGGGCAAAGTGGACAAGAAGCAGCTTCTCAAGCATTTCTACTCCGCCTAGCGATGGGTGCCTGGCGGGAGTCACGCAGGACGGGGAGGCTTCGTGACAACACCCTGGCCTGGAAATGTGGGGCAGCGTGGTGAGGTTTTTCCAAAAGTGTGAGTGCTCTGTTTTCCAACTCCCCGGTGCCACCCTTGCATTTTGACAAGTCCTTATCTCATGATGAGTAAGGTTGGACAGGATCTGCGATTTATTTTCTTAACTTGTGAATCAACGTCTCATAAAATCTGGCTTTCTTCTTGCTCAGTCTGTTTTTTGTTTTTTGTTTTTGGCTGGCAATATGTTCTTCCTGCAGCGAGTTCAGGGTTTGGCAGTGATGCAGTTTCAAGCTCCATGTCAATCAGGGTTGCTGGCTTTACCTTCCAGGGCCTGGGGGAACTCAAGGCACACACCCCTACCCACGGAAGGCTCCTAGTTTCATCAGTTGAACAATTACATGTACAAGCAAACTGATTGTCTGTTCTGCAAACATGGACTTGCTTAGACTCTTAAAAAAAACAACCAGTGGCTCCTGTCATCATCCACCCCCATCTTTAGGTGTTCTTTGTATACTTTTGGGTTCCTAAAGAGGGAATGACAATGAAAATTGTTGCTGTCCCCTCCCTCCCTCCTACATGTGTGCACACACACATCCTGAAGTCCAGAAGAGGGTATGTTCCATCAACCCCTTCCCTCCTTCTCAGCAATCACACCTGTGGGGCTGAGCATCCACCCAAGCCCCCAATGTATAATGCAGGCAACATTTGTGCTATAACAGCCACCAGAAAGTGTTGGCTTGTATGGCACATTTGGAAAAGATTAACAATGCAACCCTGTCCATATTTACTCAGAAGTAAATATATTAGGGATGGACACATCTGACAATTTCAGTTTCTCTCAGTTTTTCATTTTCTCCGTCTTAAGTTCACTTTGCCCTATTTCTGCATCATTTTGAGGTTTTTATTTTAAAAGTCTGCATGAACATGTGTACATGCTCATGCACATTTCTAATATACACATTTTTGCCAAATATGCACACTTTTTAAAAAACAGTTTTTCCTAATATGCATTTTTGTGCATTGTTTTCACTGCTATAAACAATTTTTTCTTGCACATTTCCCACTAAATATATGCTTTTTATGTTTGCGTTTATTTACGTATTTCCTTTTTTGATGGTGAACTGCATTGCAGAATTCAGAGAAGTGGGAATTTAGAACTGTAGCTGCAATTCAGTTTGTGTATTGGTTTGAGAACTGCAAACGAGGTACCAGATCAATTCCCACCCCCACCCCCACCCCGCAATTTCTACACCTTAGCAAATATGTGCAGGATTGCAGCCTACTTCAGACTGTGAACCTTACCTGGTTTAGGAAGCTGGAATGTTATGAGAGCCCATTGTACTGAAGCTCATATGCTTTTCGTAACTGAATGTTACAAAGTGACAAAGCTGCCAGCTGCAACCTTTCGTGTTACAAATTCTGTTGTCTTTGGGGTGTTGCAACATTCACCATGGGGGGAGCAGAATCCCCATATGAAATTGGCAGTTTCTACTTAATTCTGAACTCTTTTCTATCCACTTTTGTTTACTTTTCTGTTTTAAAGCAACATCTCAATTTGCACTAATTCTTATAATTAGACACTCTGGACGGCAACAACACTTTGCCAATCAAAGGGCAAAGTGCAAAAGTGCATTCTCTGAGGGCTCATCCACACTTCCTCTTTTCTCACTGATTCCTCAGGGGAAAACAGCTCTTTAGCACTCAGCAAACAGAAATTTGGGTTCCCCCCGGATTGCCATTTGTCCCAATCTATTACTAAAGAGCGATTTTCCCTTGGAAAGGAGTGGAACAAGGGGGAGACCTATCAGACCCGTTCTTTCTAGGCACATGCGGAATTGTGGCCAGCACCTAAGTGGCTCTGCCTATCATGTGCTTCCACAAGAGATGAGAGAAGCATCATCGTAGCTCTCGCGTGTGCTGTGGAATGAGCGTCATTGGGGATTCTGCTGCTCTGATCAATGTGCTTTAAAATGCTTTTTACTCAGTTCCCATTCTCCTGCAGCTGAAGACGTTCCCCATGGGGAGTCTCTTCCATTTGGTGCTTCTTTTCTGTCATCAGTCCTCAATCCACTTCACCTTCAACCTACATGCGGCTCCATCTCAGATGAAATAATATCTCATTCAGCAGGTATCACAGATGCACATAAACACCCTTTGCTCCGCACCCTGGTCCCCTCCTGCCCCTCTTCATTCCACTCTTTCCAGCCAACTCTCCCTGCTTTTTTCCCCTCTCTCTTTCTCTCCTTTTTGAGGGGTTTTCCCCTCTATTTTTATGGTGCCGTAAAAGAGTCCTTCATTAGGGGAGTGTAATCTCAGAGCGAGGATGGCTAATAACCCACCGTAAATTGCGATCTGTCCTTTTGCACGCTCTGCCACACTCTCCTTCTGTTTGGCTACAGATGCAGGGTGGTGGAGGGGAGGGAGTAGTCATTAGGGAAGAGCAAATAAATGTCAGCCTCTCTTAATAACCCAGGCACGCCTCTCTCTCCCCCTCTCTCTGCGCTGCTCCCAACAGGCTTCCTAGGGTGAGTCAATTCAACCTGGAGACCCCACAGGCCTAGACCTGCTCATGCTAGTGTTCATCCAAGGGGCTGGCTCTGCACACAGGAGCTTCCTGCCAGTGTTGCTCAAGTATAGCTAATGCACATGCCAAGATAAGGCCAATCCACAACCCACTTAGGTCTGCATACTCGGAAGATTTCAAAGGATGACTCTGGTTTGAGATAACCCAGAAACACTTAAGAAACACTTAAGAGCAAAATAATTTTAGAACAGCCGTTGTGGTTCAGTCTGAAGGTTTCAGGTAGTCGAGCGCAGCAGACAAGCCTTGGCCTCAAGGAGAAACCACAAGCAGGACATGAGAGCAATAGCCCTCACCTGTCAATCCACCACAGTCAATATTTTATTTATTGCATTTGTATCTCAGCTTTTCCTCCAAGAGGCTCTTTTTAAAAAAAAAAAAATTGAAATTTTCAGTCCTCCAAGAGGTTCTTCCCCTCTGTAATTGTCACAACAACCCTGTGAATTAGGACAGGCTGAGAGGCAGGGGCTGTCATGGCCGAGTAGGGATTCAAACAATGGTCTTCCAGGTCATTGCCTGACACTCTAACCACTGCACCACACTGGCCTCACTGGCATTTTGCTCCATAGATTTCTCCTGATTCCTTTTACAACCCCAACACCAGCAGTCATTAATGCCTACCTAGATCAGGGTGTAGCTACAGTCTTCTAGGGTCCATAGATCAGGGTTGGCTAGCTCCTGGTCCAGGGATCTGATCCAGCCTCCGAGAAAATTTTTAAGGACATAAGAAGAGCCTGCCGGATCAGGCCAATGGCCCATCTAGTCCAGAGTCCTGTTCTTAGAGTGCCCAACTAGATGCCTGCCGTTTCCACCTGCTTCCCTTTACCCCAAAGACCCTAAGGATTTTGGCAGAGCTGCAATAAATAAACAGATTGGAGTGCTGTGTTGGATGGTGCAGGTTTAAACCTATCTGCCCTGCCCAGCCTCCTGAATGCAAATAATCACTGCTTTGCCAGATATTGGAGTGATCATTTGATGAGCAGGGGGGAGACTCTGTGGGGGGGAGAGGGGGCCACATGCACTTTTGGCCACCCCCAGTGCTTCCACGCAGCCCCTTGAGGGTTGGCCAATGGTGAATGTGGCCCCCAGGCCCCCAAAGGTTAGCCTCTTCCCTGCCATTACGTTAACCCCTCCCTGGCCCTATTATTTTCCAGGGCTGTGGGGAGACCATTCATTTTCTTGGGGTTCTTTCTGCAGAAAAAGATAATGGCAGGTTGTTTCCAGCCCCTTTTTCAGCTTTTCTGCTGGTAGAGAAAATCTTGGAACCATAGCTGCAGCATATGGTCTGCAAGAAGAAGACAGCTTTAAAAATAATTAAAAGTAGGGGGGAGGGAAATCCCTCTCCCAGGCAACATTTTCCCCCAAAAAACCCAGAATGGGGGGGATCCCAGGTTTCCCTTTGACTTCTGTTGCAGTTCTGTTGCCAAGCTATAACAGATCCTGCCGATCACAGCGGCATCATAGAGCTTATTGTGAAAAATGGGGGAGGTGGGGGGGTCAGGAGCCAAGCATCCTTAGTTCCTCTCCTCCCACCCCCATTTACCCATTGGGGCACATCCCCAAGCCATGGGTGCCAGGAAGGAGCGCACTGTTTGGGGCTATCATGCCATCCCCTTGCTTAAAACATCAACGACGCAGTAAATTTTTTCACTTACCATATAGATCAATATCAAATTATCATGTCTCGCGTTCATAACTCTTAAGCAAGCAACAATGGGGAGAGACAAGGTCACTGGAGAATAAATAGCAGCCGGTGCGCTCCGTGATCTATCATTCCCGACAAGCCTCTGCACCTTGCACCAGGCCACTGACAAGATCATTAATAAAACTCCGCCGTTGCCCGATCGATGGGTTTGATGGATGAGCACAGGTAGCAAATACAGTAAAACAGCTGCCTGTCATGCTTGGGTGAGGGATGTGAGCTCCGCCAAGGGGGCTTGCTGGTAGGCTGCGCCGTTTTCCTTGGGGCTTTCTTTTGAAAGCGAGGAAAAACAAGATCTTTAAAGGCCATTCAGCGTTTGCCAATGAACACTTGAACTCAGCACCTGAGCTCCCTGCCTGGGTGGGAGACTGTTGCTGGTGCCAAGTGGGGCGGGGAGGGGACAGTGTTGTAGTTAAAGCAGGAAGGAGAGGGAGCTTCCCTCCTGCCTCTGCCCCCTGCTTATCATTTCTACTCCTTGCAGTAGGAGGTGCCAAAAGGGACAGCAGCTGTCTCCAGCTGGGCTTGCTGTCGTAGGGGAAGGCAGTAGCTGGGTGGAAGGGCATTTGCAAAAGCCCCTAGATTCAACCCTCAGCATTGCCAGGTAAAAGGTGAGTGAAAGGCTTTTGCCCAAGGCACTGGAGAGTCCTGGCCAGAGTCTGTGGCTCTCCTGATGTTGCTAGATTCCAGCTCCCAGCAGTCCCAGGCAGCACAGTCAGTTGGCAGGAATAATGGGAGGACCACAGGCTTCCCCATCTCCAGAGCAGACGACATGAGGGACTTGGCCAGACTTGAAGACCACATTCACACCATACATTTAAAGCACTGTGCTGCCACTTTAAACAATCATGGCTTCCCCCAAATAATTATGGGAGCTGAAGTTTGTTAAGGGAGCTGAGAGTTGTTAGGAGACCCCTGTTCCCTGCAC